AAAGGCATCTTCAGGTTGGATTGCAAGGAAGTTGGCTAATGAATTCAAAGCTATTTAATAATAATAAGAGAAATTTTGTCTTTTCGTGTCCCAAAAAAGTACCTTAGGGTATCAAAAAAAAGATTTTCTAAAAGTTTAAAGTATCGACATGAAATTATTAAAAATATCGGATACCAAACTCATATTTTAATATAACACATGATACTAAAATGAAATTTTCTCAATAAACAAAAGAATTAGTATGGAGAGAAACAAATTTTTGAGGAATTACATTGACATTATTGGTCAGCAGATTTTTTGTTTGATTCTTATAATTTCTGGCCTTTTTTTTTTTTTTACTCTGATCATTATAATTTTCTAGCTTGTCCAATGTCTAAGGCCCTCTTCTTGAGTGGATGGAGTACAAATTCTTTTCGGCCAATAGTTATCACTTTCTCAAACGTATAGTCAACACCAAAATTAAATCCACTTGGCACACACATGACACACCTTAACAACATAAAGACATATTCTCATTTTTTAGAGTGCCAAATACAGACTTTATTTCACACACATGATATTATATCCTCTTAGTGTTAACTCAATTTTCTCAACTAAATAATAGCAACTCACTTTTTTCTTATTTATTTACAAGAGTGTCATCTTTAGATTTAACTCCTATAATTACCCTACTTGTGTTACTTTGTACATGCACTTTAGCACTACCTCACGTTTTTTCTTTTGTTTTATTTATTTATTTTTTTTAACTCTAAAGTCTAACCCCAACTACCTCACATTTCTTTGGTTTTTGTTTTGTTTTGTTTTGTTTTTTGTTTTTTTTTTTCAACTCCCTCACTGCCTTTCGTATGCTAGTTTGTTATATGCTAAGTAGCTGATACGAAAATAAGAAAAGAAAAACTCTATTTTCATATTAAAAGATAGAAAACAAAAATATTCGATTTAAATATAAAACTGATAGAAGACAAAAATATAATATCCAAATAAAAACAACGGACGATTGAAATCAAGTCAAATATAACAAAATGTATCAACTTCAGAGGCAATGACCAGGAAAAAGGGTTAGGAAAAAAAAAAGAAAAAAAAGGGCAAAAAAAAAAAAAAAAAAAAAAACTCAAAACGCGCGCAAATTGGTAAAATGATACGTAAAATAGAAAATTATGAAATGGAAACATTATTATATTTATATAACAAAAGTTGTCAATAAAAAAAAAAAAGAAGAAAACAAACATGTAGCATTTCACTGATAAACACTTACGGCAAAAAAAAAAAAAAAAAAATTGATAAATTGATCTTCATATACCTCATTACCGGAAATGCTAGACACAATTTTTTAGCATATCATGGAGTCACTACAAGAAAAAGGGCTATTAGCGACGACAAAAAGTTGTTGCAAAAAATACAAAGTCGTCGCAAATAAATTTTTAGCGACCATTTTTCGTCGCAAACCTGTCACCGCAATTGATTCGTCGCAAAAATAATTTTTGCGACGACAAGCAGTCGTCGCAATTATATTTGCGACGACAATCGTCGCAAATGAGTCGCTGTAATTATTTCGTCAGTTCCATTATTAAGATGACATGACATTGAGTATTTGCGACAACATTTAGCGAATTAAGTCATCACAAAAGATGCATAATTAGCTGACTTGGCTTATATGTTTTGCGACCACATTTGTCGTCGCAAATAATATTTTAATTTTTTATTTATTTTTTGCAGACTGCGTCTAGATCTGCGTTTATCTTTCTCCCTCCATCCGATGCTACAAATATTATAAGAAAAATAATTAAATACATAATGCGATTTAAATAAAAAAATATATAATTAAACATTACGAGTATACTTACAAAAGTCTGCTCAGCTTTGGGATTAACCCAAGTATCTACACAACGATGCATATCGCCGCAGTTATCGATGACGGACATCGGCTGTTGAGTCCCTGTGGTAGACTGCATAGTAGTTTAAATGTATATGAATATAGTGTAATCGATTATCAAATTAACATTTATATTGAATAAACTATTAACAAATACTTACTTTCTTCTTGCGATGTTGACAGTACAACAGCCGACCATGAAAACTTGACCACTTTTGGTTGCTACGATTAAGTTTATTAATTCCTGACTTTTTCTATTTATGATTACATTCAACGTTAGCGTTAGTAAAATTAACCTTTATTATATATAATAAAATAACATATAAAAGAGATATAATTACCTGAAACTTGTCAAACATAAATCTATCGCAGCAACGATTCCCGTGATCTGGATTCCTGAGGTTTTTAGGAGGGTGGGCCCTAACAACACTCTCATTTTCTGAACCACCAAGATCTTTGAAATAGTCATGGAGGTCGCTTTTCCAATCCTTATAACATATTGTAGCCTCCCTGTCGACCACATACCTAATTATACCATCGTCGCGGTCATAATCGAGGTTGAACCATTCCTGTAATACAATATAAACATGTTAAATGATTTTATTATATTGAAATTTAGATTAAATTAAAAAACAATGAAGTAAAATAATTTATATCAGCAGGCGCCGCTGAATCTCTCTCTTATGCTGGATGTCCACGTCATTCCAAGCATTGTGGAAAGGTTTATAGAAATCCCTAACATGGATTCCAACAACATTATTGAACCAGGTGCCATAGTTTCCAATTGCCTTCTAAGTACCTACACGTTTGTTAAACATGGGGGAGATCTTTCCTTCCTTTGCCACTCTGGCTGCGATTTCGTGAACCTTAGCTTTCCCTCGACCTCCACGATGTCATCGAGGTACGACATCGGGTGCTGTAGAATTAAATATATTTAGTGATCATATAATATTGATGTAATCAATTTAACAAATTTATAATTATGTTCTAACATACTAGACTCACAGTGTGATGGCAACCTATAAGGATTGGGTGGAGGCTGGGCTCCCCCTAATGAGCCAGCACATATAGTGACTAGGCCAGACATGATTGCCTGTTATGACGTTTTATCAAATTTTATGAAAATTAACACAAATTATATTGTAATATGTCTTTAACATTCTATTAACTATTTTATAATATTTATTTTTAATTTTTTAATTAATAATATAATACTAATTAAAATTTCCATCTAAATTTTTTAATCATCATATATATAATTCATTATTTTTAACTTCCTAATATTTCCATAGGTCACCTATTTTTTAATCATCATTAAATAAAATTTATAAAAATTTTAATCTAATTACCACAAATTTCAATTTCAATTCTATTTTACAATTCACAATTCTAACTCTAAAACCACAAACTAAATTCAAAACAAAACCACAAACTACAACCAAAATACCAAAATCAATTTATAAAATACTAAAATATTAACTTACAAATTCCAAACCCACAAATACCGCGGGAGTTGAAAAACGGTATGGCAGCAGGGTTGGGAGGGCGACGACGGCTGGAAAACGATGACGACTAAAAGGAACCTCTTTTGAAAAATGTGATTCCAAAATTTAATGAAAAATCAAAACCATTATTTTTCATTTTTTACTGACTAAAAGTAAAAAGTTCTCTACCAAAGGAGCCCAACCTTAAACGTACTCAGTTATATGTAGCTCATATACAAATATGCGCATAAATCTTTTGTACAATTATTTCAATTTATTGTATGGACTAGGGATGCCTGATGATATAGCTTTAATTAGTTGAGAATGTTCAGCGATAAACAATAAACCACTAATTAACTTTACCGTAAAAAGTGTATCAATGTTGGGAATCAGTTCCTTATGACTATTTCATGCATGGATATATAAGCATATGTTAGGCACTAAGTTAAAGGAACAAATGGAATTGGATAACATTACTAAACTAATAAGCTAAGCAATTCTCTCGTAGAAGCAATTGAGACTTGAGAGGTTAGAAATATAATTCCAAGAAATGGAATTGGTTCTTCCACGTCATTCTTACTTGTAAGAATGATAAATGAGTTATTCTTTTTATTACGATAATATCAATCCAGTACTATTGCATATTATATGTTGGGTCCATATGATTCAATAAATATCATCCATTATGCTATGGATATGACGGATCTCTTTTTGCAGTTTATACTCAAATAGAACGGCTAACGTACGTTATTTAAAAAGTCAAAGAAAAATTGTTTTTTTAATACCTAATATTATTTAACTTTATTGTTTTTTTTATCATGGCAAATTAAGCAATCTAGAATATGACCTACATAATATACCTATATTATCATAATTAACCAGCTTTTTGGAAGCTTATATCATCATTCTCATTCTCCTACATAAATATTCGGAGATTTCCAGTAAGTGCATGGTTCTTCTAGTATTATCATTCCTTGATTCCTTGCTTTATTGACATAACCTGTCTTATTTTATTTTATTTTTTTGGCTGGAAATATCAGTTAAATATTAGTTAGTTAAATATCAGTTAAATGACAAATTTGGGACGTCTTAATTAAATACCAGATTGTTATCATGTTCCTTAAAAATTTTATTATCATGTCTAGACTAAATCCATTATATAATTGTAGGGCCACCGAAATAATTAGAAATTGATTAGTTAGTTAACCTTATATTTGATATATCCTTTAATTTGCTCAAATATTTCATTTTCTCTACCGTCTCTGATCTTCCTTCATAGCTAATTAATCAAGGTGTGCGTGTGTGAGTCAAACTAATTATTATTATTTTTTGTTGTCTAAGCGCATGTTTTCAGTGCCCATCATTTAACAATTTGTAACATATTACATATATAGTCACAATTAAAGAAAAATCTGATAAATATATAATTGGTATTTGGTAAAAGCGAAAATTCGTATATATTCTTAGGTACGTTGACATGACTAAAACATATGCCTTCTGTCTGTTCTTTCCCTTCCTTGACGTGGGGATTCCCATGCACACTCATTTTACCACCATCCCAAAGCATAATTCCAATTCCCTTATACTTGCTTAAACCTCAAGCCAACACAATATTAAAACCCCATAACAAAAAACAACTTAAATTATACCAACTTTCTAGATTTCCAAATATACATCTATCGCCTTTATCGTCTAACATAAACAAATTACCAACCCTCATGCACGCCACCATTATATACACCTATATTCCTCCAAATTTCTTATTTCCTTGCAGATAGAACCACCCCCCCCAAAACAAAAAGACCATGAAATACAACGAAATTTCCCACTTTAGCCACCCCCAACACAAACTCAAGTTTGAGTACTCCGAATTTCCTTTCAAGTGTGACGGCTGCAAGGAGGCCGGTATTGGCTCCCGTTACAAGTGCGCCTACTGCGATTTCGACCTCCACACGCACTGCGCCATCCCGTCGCCGACCATCTCCCACCCTTTCTACACTAAGTGCTCCTTTCGGTTCCTCTCCCGCCCGCCTGGCGACGCGCCACGCTACTGCAACGCCTGCGAGAAGGATGTGACCGGGTTAGACGTTTATGATCAATTATTTTCTTCATATACATATATATATATATATATATATTTTGAGTTTAGTCTCTATCATCTAAATTACTCGCAAATAAATACAGCCTAGTGGATTTTTAGATCATTTTCCTCGTTGTTGAGGACGTCCCCTAAGAGCATGCAGGTAGTTTTGTGTTTGTGATATTTTTTATTGATAACTGTCTTGTATTTCTATTGAGTTGTTCAAGGGGATTTCGTGGCATTTTTAATTCAATGCCTTGTGTTTTTAGTAAGCTGTTTGATTAATAATTGAAAAACGTCAAATGTTACAAGTTGACAATTACAGCTCCTTTTTCAACCAATGATAAATTATATATCTTGTAAAAATATAGGTACATGTACTCCTAATAATTAACTATGATTTTCATATATCTGATTATTAATAATAATATTTATAGTGTTAACATTTACAAGTCACATTACTTTCTTTAATAACTAATTTTAAGATGAGATAGAATATTTTGATACTATCTGTTACATTGAAACATCTTAAAAATACTTCGACTTTTCAATAATATAAAAATGATACCTTCAAGTTAAAAAAAAAAAAAACTTTTCGGTACCCTGAAGTTGTTTTTTGGAACAAAAAATGTCTTATATATAAATTAAAAAACTAAACTATTTCAACATATTCAAAAGATAATTTATATTTAAACTTGATTATGAAATAAATTAATTACAAGGGTATGCAAGACATTTTAGGTCTCAAAAAATAACCTCACGATATGAAAAGATATTTTTTCTTTTTAACTTGAAAGTATGGTTATTATATGATAAAAAGACAAGATAGCTTTGACATGTTTTAATATAACAAAGAGTTTCAAAATGATTTTATCTCTTTTAAGACTTATAATTCTGAAATAGAGAAATTATACAACCCAACATACCGGTTGTGAAATAGGATCATGTCGAGCCTCCCAACATGTGGGCCCCACTCCCTCTCTCAAACCCCTCATAACATTGATTTTAATTTATATTTTGAGTCATTGTTACACCATTGATCATTCACCTATCCAATATTTATCTATCAATTTTAAGACTCACATAACACAAACATCTACACATAATAATTAGGTGCTATGCTTTTTTGCCTAGTTAAAAAATTAAATTGCACTTCCTTTTGCATAGTAATAAAAGCAATATTAAAAAACATAATAAGAATAATGTATTTATATTAGCTTACTCTATAACTAATTGTCCCTAATTAAGGAGATACTTATGAATAATTAATTGTTGGATTAACAGATTCGTGTACCACTGCACCTCATGCGGGTTCGACCTCCACCCCTGCTGCGCCAAGCTCCCGATGGTGCTCGACGACGGCGAGACGAAGCTCTACCTCTACCGCAAAGTAAGCTCGTCGTGCCACCGCTGCGGGAGGAAAGGCCGGAGCTGGAGCTACCGGTCGTCGTGCAAGAAATACAATCTACACGTGGCGTGTGTGAGAGAGATGCTCATGGAGAGCTGGTCGGAGATTTATGCCGGCCGAGCTGGGAGGGGGTCGACTATGAGGAAACTTGAGACGAGGATTCCCAGTCTCAAGAACACGCTCCAAACGCATCACCGGAGAGGGAAGGGGAAGGTAAAGAAGTGCTGCGAGATGGCGGGGCTGGCCGTGCAGTTCGTCATCTCCGCCGTGTTGGGAGATCCCACAGCTCTCATCGCCGGCCTTATTGGGACGTTGATTTCACGAGCGTAATGTGATGGATTGATATGGTTTGGTTACCAGTTCTAGTAGTAAAATATGTGAATTATAACCATAATATTACAAGTAATAACAATCTGCTTCAATGAATTAGAATGGATTTAGTTTGAGTACAACGTTATCTATGATTAATTTTTAGCTATACATACATATATGTTCAATTGGCGGATTACATAACCCTCATTTTTCTAACAAATACTTGTGAGACAGCTTTTGAATTTAGGTAATAGAAAAATTGAAGTAAAAGCTATAAAATTTTTCAGTTGGTGTTTGGATCCAATTTTTGAAAGTGCTTATTAGAATTATGAGCGAATATGATGTTTAATATTTTGTTAAGTTATAAAAATAGTAGAGTAATTTAAGTTTATAAAATCTTATTAAAGTTTTGATACAAATTTTAAAGTCTTTTTAAAAGATTTTTTTAATTAAAAAAACTCCTTTTATATTTTCAGAAATCAAATTTCGGACTGAAAATTAATAGCAAACATTTTTTGAGAAATCAATGCTAGACACTAGAAAGCATAGTAAAGTTAATTTGGACTCCGAGCTAGTTTTGAATTTGAAATGCCAAAAAATTTACCAAAAGTCATGGCACCTTCCGAAATTTGATCCTTTTTTTTTTAATTTTTTTAAAGACGAAATTTGATTTTGTTTGAAGCTCGAAAAATGATAAAAAAAACAAATTAATTGGGTCCTACTTAATAAGAGATATCGGGTTTTGATTGACAGTTGTTTCAGGTATTACACTTCATACAAAAGCTTTATAATGGATTGTTATTATTATTATTTGGATAAGAGAATTTCTAAGAAGTTGAATAAGACCCCACTTTAGAGTTTATCGGAATAAAGTGATAAAGAAAAAGAGACGAAAAGTAGGCGGGGTTTAATAATTAAGGAGAGTGTCTGCTTCCATGGCATTTTGCTTCTCTCCTAGTGAATCTACCAAGACGAGACAAACTGAGAAATATTTTCCTAATTAATAAGTCATAGTGAAGCAAATATAACTACTGCAGTTACATTTTCACTTCTCCTTGTAATATATATAAGATTAAAGCAACATTTAGATTAAGGGCTTTTGGTTTTAGAAAATACAATTGAATTCAGGGAAAAGATTCTGCCCCCATCCAAAAAGAAAAGATACATCTGATATTTCTTTCTTTAAGGAAATTAGATTTAATCATAAAAAAAATTGTTTTTTAATATTCTATATTTCTTATTTGACCCATATTACGCAGGTATAGATGACATGTGTGAGATGCGACACGCATAAAATTTGCTTTGAGGCCATCAGAACTATAAATTTTCTCTCTAATTGACTAAATACTCTGCTTCTTATAATTAATTTATCCTGGAAACATTTTTTAAATTGAATACGAATCTTTTCTTAAGCTCTACAAGGAAAGAAAAAAGAAATTAAGATCGAATATTGTAGCTACAATACATTGCCTCTCTATTATTTAACATTATATAGTCCTATCAAGGAAATGTGTATAGGGAAGAATATTATAAACAAATCGAAAAAATGGCGAAGAATCCCATGTGGAGATCTATCGAAAACTAAACGCCAATTAGTCAAAAACGTTCCAATCGCTTTGATCATGATTAACTAAGTCTATTAATTAATAGGATGATTCTCACTAGTGTCTCCAACTTTGGGGCCATTCCCTATTTGCCACTCAAATTTTAAAAATTCTCATTTTATATATGTTAAATTCTAAATTAGTTATATTTAGTCCCTTTTAAAAAAAAATGGTAAAAATGGAGAAAAAAAGGGAGGTAATGGGATCACATAATTTTTCAATTAAAATTTCTGTTAAAAACAAATGTAAAAAGATCACACACCATATTTAACTCTCTCCATGCTGATTTGATTCTAACATAAATTCTAACAAAAAGAGTTAAGGTGTGACTAATTCAAATTTCAGAATGCAAAATGAAGAGTTTTTAAATGTCGGGGAAAAATTAGGATTAACTCCAAAATTTAGCCGCCGTGCTGTTGCAAGATTAACCCTAATTAATAATTTGATCAAATCTACAGCATCAACGCGTACAAGTTTTTTGTCTCCAATATGATCTGATCCACAATCCAACCATATAATCATATAATATATGCCAAATTAAGAAAGCACATATACGATCATATTATACATGGGCAATAATATTTGTAACTCTCACCAGTCGACATCCGTAGCCACCGTGAAGCTGATTCTCGAAGATGGACAACTCAGGGAATTCTCACAGCCCGTTAAGGTCTCTCAGGTTCTTCACAATAATTCCACAAGCTTCGTATGCGACTCCGACGACATGGATTTCGGGGAGTTTATTTCCGCCGTTGATGATGATGAAGAGCTTCAGCTAGGTCAGCTTTATTTTGTGCTTCCGTTGGCCTGTTTGAACCGTCCGGTTCTGGCGGAGGAGTTGGCGGCTTTGGCCTTAAAGGCAAGCGAGGCGCTTAGAAAGTTGAAAGGCGGCAGGGGGCCGGCGAGGTGCTGTGGAGATAAAGGGGTGGAGACCTTGGAGTTTGCCATCAAGAAGGATGTCCGAATGGCGGAAACCGTTGGCGGCTACGGTGGTGATCGGACGAGAGAGTTTGAGAGAGGGCGAAGAGGGAGAGGGAGAGGAAGAGGAGGTGGTAGGGTTGAACGACAGCGTTTTGTTGCGGAGTTGAGTCTGATTGTGGAGGAGTAATTAGTGAAGGAGGCAATATGAGGTTTTGCGTGGCATGCATGATACTTATAATTACCATGATCTTAGTTAGTGATCATGGGTTGGCGATAACAAATTTCCATTCAATTTCTTGAGAATATTTGTTTGGTTAGTCAGTATATGGATATTTTCTCAAAATTGTATATGCCTGTAATTACATTGCATATACATAATTCCTTGATTTATTCAATGATATAGCTATACTAGATATATTAATTTCATATCAATGACATTTAGCTTATTTCATCCTATAAATAAATGAAAATAATTCCTAAGTTAATGTGTTCAATCATATAATTTTATTGCATGATCAGTTATTAACATTGCTTTAATATATTACTACAGATGGGGAATCCACATGTCAAGGTAGTTATTGATTGGATCAGGTTTTATTGCCCATGATATTATGTTAATTAATTTAAGGTTTCTAATGATAATCACGAGAATAGATTACTGCAGGTTTAATAATATTTTTCCCTTTCTGCAGGAGTTTTTAGTGTTCTTTTTCCTTTTTCTTATAGCATGGCCACTGTTCGTTCATTCCTTAACTCCTTGATGATCGTAGTAATCTATTTTAGTAATGAAATCCTTCCTATCATTAGGGGGTCCAAACTATAGTCTATATATATACATATTAGTTAAAAACAAAGATATATATTTACATACAAACTTATCCTGGAATATACAAGTATATATTTATAAATATCGACTATTTTGCTTTGATCAATACCCCATATATCTCAAGCAATTTTCTTTTATACATGTCAAACACGTGGAATCACAACGAATGTTGTCATCATGAGGACAGCAAGCATGATCAAATCACTCTACAAATTAACAACATCGCTATGGCATATTTATTGTACTTACTATACTAAACAAAAACCTTTTGCAGTTAGTGATTTGCCATCATATAATTAACGTCCTTGGCCTAAATAGTCATTGTTGTCTTGTGGTTTAATAAGATGCATACAAAACAACGAAACAACTAGGAAAGTAAAACTTACAAAAACAAACAAAACAAAAGAGAAGCATACAAAACAACGAAACAACTAGGAAAGTAAAACTTACAAAAACAAACAAAACAAAAGAACAAACTACAACTAGGTAAGTAATACTTAAAAGAACAAACAAACTAAGAAAGTATTAAGAAAGAAAAGGGGTTACAGTTCATCAATAAGAAAATGCCCAGCACTTTCCTAACGGCAAGAATGAGAGGACAGCCTATAACAAGGCAGATACGGACATATTATAGAAAAAGCTGGCCAATAATTGAGATCACATATAGCAAACTTCCATGCAGTTGGGTCCCCAAAAACAACAAGAAATATGAAAGAGATCCACATGATAATTTTACAACGCGGAACATAAAAGACCAATAGCAAGGAATTAATTCTGTTATATACCATTAATTAATAGATTGATGTAGCAATAAGATGTGTTTCTTTTGTCTCCTCTCAAGCTGCATTCAGGTTTAATACTTCATAGTTCATAATCTTAATTGAAGACTCCTATCTTGGTTAATGTATTGAGCATCATTGAATGTGTGGTGGTATGAGCGAAAACTAAGCCTATCTTTTAAATAAAATTGAGTCATGTCATTTTCATTTTATTGGTGGATTCATGAATTTCTAAATTGACAAATTAATTGGGGACGTGGTGACACCAACCAATAATCCCTTTGTTTCTTTAAAAAATAATTCTATTATATATAAATATATATTTATATATCGATTTTAATAGTTCTTTTCTTTTTTTTTTTCCTTCTCTTTATAGACCTTTAACGAGGCTTTCTCGAATGAAACCGCATGTGAACGGGACCACATAATTGTTACTTCACACGTCCATGTATAATGAATAAAGCGACGAGTAAAGAAAGATTCAATCTTTCAGGCATGAAATTTTGTAGAAAATTATAAGAATCTATTTTCCTTGGTTTCTTTCCGGTTTCTTCTACTTCGATCGACTTTCCCGTCAATAATAATTGCTAGCTATTTGTGAACATAACACATGAGTTTGACTTGCATAAACGACTTCCAAACGCGCGCGTTTTGCTCTTATATATAATATGTAGTACTAACTAGATATGATCATTAGGAAATTCAATATATTCCCTTTCTTTTTTTGGTAATACAAAGTGAGCTGAGGTAGATTAAAGTATTTGCGTTTACCGGGAATGTATTCCCGCTTTCAATACAAAACAAATCATTAATAAATTGTCTTCAATTTGGTTATAGCTCCCAAGATTCCTTCATTTTAGTTACTTTAATTGCAAAGACCTCCTAATATATTTGCAATGCATGTTATTTCGGTACTTTATTTTGCAATTTGAACAACAAATCAGAATTTGGACCAAAAGGTATTTTTATTAGGAAGCTGTATTGCTTATGTGCACTAGTGTCATGGTGTGTCAATTTTGGTAATTTTAAGTTCTAACAAAACCCAATAAAATGATAATATAGTAATGGTAGTATCCCAACTTGTATCCTAACTTTTAATACCAACTCGCGTATAGCATATGAATTATCATTCTTTTATTGGCATATATTTAAAAATTTATCATGTAAATTAATATTAGGAAATTGCATTTGTCCATATAAAAAATGATTAATCATGACATGTGAGTTGCTATGAAAAGTTCAACAAACAAGTATATGATCACACATTTGAATTTATGTTGGGATCGCATCTATAATAGGAGCATTATACTATTAATTGTCTAATCAATCTTTTGATAAGGTGAGTTAGTGCAGCAGGCCCACAATGTTATCTAATGTGTGTCACGAGAATTCAACATTTTAAAATTTTCATTTTCATATTCATATTCATACATTATAAAAGGACAAAGCACTACAAAACATGCACCATAGAATTAATCATGTTTCCTTTATATCCTCCTTTATTCTCACTTTTTCTCCACCTATAAATAACATCAAGGCCTCATCTCTTCACCACCCAACTCACAATCATTTATCTCTCTCCCTCTCTCTCTCTCTCTCTCTTAATTGACATGGGTATTTGTGCATCTTTACAATACACAACCAACAAAGCCAGAATGAGCCTAATAAACTGGCAAAACGCAACACAAATAATCCACTTCGAAGGAAAGCTACAAGAGTACATACATCCGGTGAAATCAGGCCAAGTTCTGTCGCAAAACCCAAACTGCTTCCTCTGCAGCTCCGAATCCATGTTCGTCGGCGCCCACGTGCCGCAACTGCCCACCAACGAGGAGCTCCAACCGGGCCAAATTTACTTCCTCTTGCCACTTTCGCAGGCCAAAACGCCGCTTTCTCTTCAAGACTTGTGCGCTCTCGCAATCAAGGCCAGTTCAGCTCTTTCCGCTTCGAACAAAAGAATTGGGTTTCATAACACAAGTGGTTGTAAGATTTCTACGAAATCTGGGATTGGTGAGATCAACCGAAGAAGAATTGAACTGTGAATATTCATTCATGTTTCTTGTTTTAGAATGACGACTCTAGTTTAGTCCGTGATAATTTTGGGCATATGTTGCTAATTAGTTTAAGCTGAGATCCAAGCTTAGGATTTAGGAATACAAGGAAAAGATGTGAAACCAAGGGAAATTCTATCGTAGGATGGAAAAAAAATATCCTGTTCATTTTGAACAAATTTAATTGGTGAGATTTTCATAATATTTGAAAGTTTTTAGACGAAAATCCTCGAGAAGCTTTTATCTCGCGCTCACATCTACTTGACAAAGAGACATTAATTTCTTTCGTTCTTCTTATTTTCTGCTGGAAGAAAGAGAGACATATATAACTTTGTTCAACAAAAAAGTTATCTACCGATTGGGTAAGTCAGCTTACTCTCACAGTGGGTGAGTCCTATTTGGTGGACCCAACATGGTATTGCCTTAAATCCCATTGAGGTCAATAAATTTATAAGGAGTTTCTCCGGTAGTGCACCCTATCAGTAGTCTTAATTTTTAACTGTTTGATTTGGTTAAAATCACATCAGATTAAAAAAATATGCAGAATAGATAGATTCTACAAGTATGAGGTCAATAAATTTATAGTGAGTTTCTCCAGTAGTCCATCATACCGGTAGTCTCAATTTTTTACCGTTCAATCTGGTCAAAATCACATCAGATTTAAAAAATATACAAAATAGACAGATTCTGATACATATCTAATGGGTGAAATTAAAAGACTACCAATAATCTATTTTTACAAAAATTATAAGAAAAATCTCAAATTTACATCCTGACTCGAGATAAAATTTAGCATTTGAATAGAAAAACCATTCTCTAGTATAAGATTATTTTATGAAGAACAATCTCACGATCTTTGCCAAATGACTCAAAATTTAAAATTTTTAGTATGTGGGATAGGGTGGCTAAGAAATATAATTTAACTGTTAACACATGGGGCCCCTTAAAGGTGAAGAATTGTGAGAGAAAATACTATTTGAACCCAAATTAAAATGGTTTGAACCTAAACAGACACATGGATTTTTACATACTTGATTGACTTAAGGATTTTTATGTGAATGTTTTATGTTTTCAGATGCAAATATTGTCTATCAAGGAGATCAATAAACCTTGAAGAATGGTAGTGCAATTTTCTTTTAGTCCCCAAAACAACCATTATGAGTAATATTGTATCTATTTTTCCAACTTGATAATCTCATGAAACAAAATAAAATGAACCTCATTTGTTTATTTATTCTCAACAAAAGAAAAGCGATGGAAAAAATTACTCATTAGAGATTTTAGCACATCTTAAGTACAATGGATATTTGTTAACACCCACTAAAACATCTATATATGCCACACCAAGTTCTCACTTAATTTATTAAAATAAAACAATGCAATAAATATAAGTGATCAACTAAACCTAAGGGCAATACAAAATAAACAAGTTGAAAACACTTGCAAAATTAACATAAAATAAAAGTAACCTTATCTTTGCACCTTTTCTTTTCTTTTTTGCATTATTTATAACTAAGCGATTAAGTTAATTATTTTTATATTTGTGTGCTCCTTTATAGTATTTATCGTATCTAGTTTAGATGTCAGAATATAGTATGTCTCGACAACTCTGGTGTGATGCATGTGTGTTAGAAATTTCAATTAAAAATTCTTCGTTTCTTTTATCACAAAAAGATTATAAAAAAAGAAAGCGTTGGTTGGAAATTTACTCCATTGCTTGGCACCTTACGCGCTTCCATATAAGTCAAATTGGTTCGTTCCTGTGGCAAACTATATATATCGTTTTACGTAATCATGCACTAATGTTGTTGTCGTCCTCAAAGATTTGATTACTGTTACTTAGCCCTGAATCAACTTTATATTCTAAATGGAAATCTTCTTACAATTTTTGTTAATGGGGATGATATATGAGAAACAATGAAAGAAATTAAGGCACAAAGACATTGTTGATTCTTTATAGTATTTAAAAGAAAAGATATCAACGAATATATATGAACGAGTTTTTAATGGTTTTATTTTTATGGTGATTATCTATTAAATATAAAAATTTGATGACATGACGTGATATTTAGAATCTAATTTTATTAGTTTTATTTTTTTTTGTCAACTACTCAATTTATTACAATCGCCAAATCAATATCTTACAATTAAAATAAACCATATACTAGAACATACATATTAACTTCTAAATTTCCAAAAACTGTTAAGGCCAAGACTAAATTACACATCAACAAAAATGGTTCCAAAGGACCATGTGATTCCAACTGATCTCTACAAGTAATGAATCAATGGATATATGTAACCAAAATATTCAGCGTAATACTAAAGTTCAATGTTTTTTTTTTCGGCTAAATATATAATTGGAAGTTCAGTGAATTCTTTTGACATAAATACGGCTGCATGAAGTGATACATATTTTAAAATTTTTAAAATTTTACCATTCGATATAAGCATACAGTCATATGCTTATTATTATTATTGTTGTTGTTGTTATTATGCTTGAAACAGTTACATCCTTATTTGAAGAGGAAGATATCAACTAGTACCGATAAATCTTTTTTTTTTTGTTGGTTGCCAACCAGGGCCAACACTTACACAAGGGCAAGATCATGAATTACATTTTTTTTTAGAAGATGAAGATCTTATTTTGAATTAATTAGTATCAACTTGTTTTTCTAATTCCTTTGTTTATTGGATAGTGGAAGTCGAGATATCTATTAGATTGCCGTCAATACTAGCAGTGGTGGTCGGATACCGATAGGTATCTCAATCAGATATTGGTATGTTGGCTGGATACTGACCGGTATCTCGGTCGGATACCAATATCTAAGTGGATATCGGCGGTCATCGCCTGATCGATTTCTGGCGACTACTACCGCTAATATTGGCAGTTGTTTGTCGGATTCCGTAAGGTATCTCGATTTTTAGCTGAATTTCAACGAGTATCTTAGTTGAATATTGATATCATGGTTAGAGACCTATCGGTATTTTAAGAATATATTTGATATTCTAAATATAGTGTGATGACGTAGTTGAAATATTCTCTTTAAAAAATTTTTATCCTCAGGCATATTCAATCCAAGTAAAAAAACTTGTGGTATTCCCTTAAAATCACAAGTCTTTCTAGACGCTTTCAACCTATGGTCATTAATGGGTCGACTCACGTCGTCATATGGCATGTTTCAACTAAATTGTAATATATCTTCTTTGACAATTATCGATATATATATATATATATATATATAAATATATCTTCTTTGACGATTATCAATATGTATGTATATATATATTATATGTATGTATATCTTCTTTGAGGATATCTTCCATATAATTATATATAGCACCAACCAATGATTGAAGGCACATTTTTTAATGATTCTTCTTAGCTAAATTAATCAAGCAAGTATTTTCAACACAAAAAAAAAAAAAGAAAAATCAAGCAAGTACCTTTCGGTTTTGTTGAATTGACCACTTACAAGTTACAAATCCATTATTATTTGTCAGTCATTTATGGCAACAATATTTAAAAAAATATTCTGCAACGTGGTTATTTATTGTACAAGAAAAAAGTGTAAAGTATATTTGAATTTTAATAAGATTATATTTTATCTGGTAGAGTATAAAAATAAAAAGAAGATAATTATTGATTTTATTAGAGATAAATTCGAGTTCTACTCGAATTTACTACTTGACTTTGGAAAGGAGTCTATCTGAATTGCTTTATATAAGTCTTAAATCAAAAGAAATTATTGGCTTTTTGGGACATTTGTTGAGAGGTTTACATTTAACGTTCTTTAAGAGAAGAATTTGCGGTCTTTAGGAGAAGACAATTTACAGTATTGAAAGGAGTTTGATCAATTATCATTATTTAAAAGAAATAGTCTTCAAAAAAAGGACATTTTACGATTTAAAGGGAGTTCAAATTAGCAAACATTAAAGACAAGTGGTGCTAACAAAACAAGGTCATTAAGTTGATTCTATATGACGGTGATAAAATGAAAAAAGAGTGAGTCCTTATTTATATAAATTTGATTAGTATTTGTATCGTTGAGACTTAATAGATTGTTTAATATCTAAGTGTGCGAATGCAGATTTTTACTAAACCACATAAAAACTGCCTATGTTCATTTTTTAATTTATGATTTTAGTAAAGTAATTAATTTGATATTAATTATATTGTGTAATTTGTCAGAAATGGATCTTTCACTCAGTTCTGTCATTAATTACCACATAAATATTTGCAAAATGTAATGCAATTTTCTTTTTCCAATTTGGTAGCTTTTTTTTTTTTTTTTTCTCTTTTCTTTTTCCCCAGATCTAAACTACTAGACCTTTTTAATTTTTCCTTCTTTTCCCCGAGCTAAACTACTAAGCCTTTTTTTAAATTGAAGCAAAGATCCTTTAGAAACAATGATTGTGCGCCTCACTATGAATCATATAAAGTGAGTTCAACTATGAATAAAATGAAGAATTCTTCTACGTATTTGCTTGAGTCTTCCTATTTCTAGCCTGATAGATTACGACATGTTAATTATGATACTCTACAGAGATTAATTAACTTATACTCACTTTTCATATTGATTCCGAACATAAGTGTGAGACTTGTGTTGAAGTTAAAATGACAAGGTAATCTTGGCATGATAGCCCACTATGATACTCTAAGTAGCCCACTATGATCCTTTAGAGTAATTTGTGAGTGTTCTTCTTCTTCTTTGTATTTAGTGGTCTTGGTGTATAAAGTGCTTCAAAATAAAAATAAAAATAGTTTTATTATCCCAGTGTTGTCTTCTACAGTCTGATATTAAAACCTTAGTTGTGAGCTCTATTGAAATTCTGAGTATATTCTGTGAATGCAGTTTTGACTGAACTTCTACATTAGATGAAATTTCTTGAGATTGTCACTAAGGTTATTTCAGGCCTAGGGGGAGCTTCTTTATTTTGTGAGTATACAAATTTGTTGTCTAGGACAAAACTTATTTCGTAGTGTCGAAATTTTGCCAACATGCTGGGTGGCGTTCAAGTCATTAGAAGAGTTAAGAAGTTCAACAATAAGAGCTACAACACATGGGCGACGTGTATGGAGTCTTACCTACAAGCACAAGATGTTAAGGAAATTGTGAGTGGGACTGAAGAACTACCCTTACCACAAGATACTAACAATGTAAGAAGGTGGAAGGTTAAAGCAGAGAAAGCTATGGCCGTGTTCTGAATTGATCTCATTTTTGTTTTTCACGTTTTTTGAGAAAGAAAAAATGAAAACGTTTCCAGAATGACGTTTGGCGCAATAAAGACAAAAAACGGAAATGACAATGATTTTTTAGTTTAGTGTAAAATGAGAGAGAAATGAAAAATGACTTTTAATTGTTTTTCATTTTTTGTTTTCATTTTCTCCTCTCTCGAGCAGAGAGAGAGAGAGAGAGAGAAAGAGAGACATTAATGGGTTTTTTTATACTGAAAATAATATCTTGATAAAACTACCAAATACATTTTCAAAAATGATTTATGTCTGAAATTGAAAACGTTTTCATTTTTATTTTTATACAAAAAATAAAATTATTTTAGAACGAGTTCTAAACGCGCTATATGTTTGCTCTAAAGACCACTTAAAGGAAGAAATGTTAGAGCACGTCTACGGCACCTTTTGAGGCTATAAATAAGGAACCATTCACTTGGTTGAGGCACGGTATTAAGAGAAGCAAATAAATGTGTTTTAGGGAGTGAAAAAGTGAGGTGCTTGAGTGTAGTTAAGTTTTTTTTAGAGTAGTTTTTTAGTGTTGTTCTTCTTCGTATTTAGTAGTCTTGGTGTACAAATTGCTTCTAACTTAATAAAAAATAGTTTTATTATCGCAGTGTTGTGTTTTATATTTTGATCTTCAATTTTTTGACACTTTTCAATAATCAACTTTGATATATATATATATATATATAGGTGTGATTTTAATAATTCTTCTAATATTTACCAATCAATTAGTATTATTATTTTAATTTGACCGTTATAATAAATTAGATAGTGGATAAAAAATTTATACCATGTCATTAAATTACTATATTTAATAGTAGAGACCATAGATAAAAATGTAAATATATATATATATATATATGTGCGCTAGAAAAGTTTAAAATTTTGATGGTTTACTTGAAAAATTTGTTGTCTTTTAAAATCAAGCATAGGTTTCTTTTATATATAGCAATATATATATATTTATTTTTTTTGTATAGTTAATTTTGACTAAATCTAATATTATGGATTGATTATATGTGATTAGAAAAACACATAGTGATAATTTTAACGAGAAATGTTAGCGTCAATCTTTGTCACTTTTTACATTTACTTCATTAAGATATATTATTAATTAAACAAAAAATAAGATAATGGAATTTATATCTCAAACAACAAAGGAAGAAAGTGATAAAAAAGAGTGTCAAGAGAGATTCATATATTTCAATTAAACTACATGGGAGATTTTTTTTTCTAATATTATTCAAATTTTTTTATGATTATCGCTTTCCATTGAAAGGGCCAACAATGGATGAAAATAGATACACGTTCGTTCTAAATACAAGCTCTAGAATAGTAATGATGTATGAATTAAGATTTTTTTTTTATCATTTACTCTTAATTAATACAATTTTAATTAATTTAGTTATTTGATTAAAAAAGATATTAATAGAAAATAAAAGTTAAAAATCCATATTTATACACCCTAAAGAGTATTCGTTTTCTTTCCCCTTATTTGCTTAGACAAGTTAAAAAAGAAAACTGAATTTATCAGTTCCTATTCTAACAAATTGAAATGCTTTGTGAAATGAGCATTTAGTTTACCTTTTGTCTATAGACCTTTTTTATGGTCCCGCAATACTTTTATGAGGGAGATTTACCCCATGGTAACTAGTTGAAAGATTGATGTAATTTTCTTATGTTTAGTCGTAATTGTTACTATTTTGATAACTAAAAGTTATTTTTAAGTATATGGTAATAAACAATAGTCATATACTGCTCCAAACAAATGTTAATGTATGGCCGAATATGCCTATAAAAAAAAACATGACAAATGTAATAATACTTCACCACAATAATATTCATGTTTAAAAAAAGACAATCGGTTAGATGGAAGATTATTAACAGTAAAAACGACAGATGTGCATATTATTATTCATATTAAAAATGACAATCGTTTATTAATGTACATTTTAACATTATTTATGACATTTATGCATGATAGTCATTTATTGTCATATGCTTAAAAATAACTTTTGATTTCTAAAATAGTAACTGTTGCGACTCAATACAATATAATTGTGTTAATATGTCAGCCGATTACGATGACATATGGGGAAAAAGTCTCCCTATTTCTAAACTGGAGGACTGTATACAAGTCCCAGTCTATAATAGCTGCTTCTCATTTTAGGCTTCTGCAAGGTCTTTTCCTGATTAGCAGTATTGATATCGCAAATGATTATTTTTCATTAATTTTTTTAGAATAATTTTGATAAATACCCATTGAAAATACATAGATTAGGATTTTTATCATTTACTCTTATTAATAATTTTGTTAGTCAAATAATTATATTAACAAAATGATCTTTATTAAGAGTAAAAGATAAAAATCTAGACTCAGAATAATATTCTCTCATTTACACGCGAGTTTTGTACTGCATCAATTGGGCCTGGAAGAGGCCCAACCCAAACTGAAACCGTCCCAAAAGGTCAAGAACAAATTGCCCTCTTTTGACATAACCCGTAATTTGTTAAGGGGAATAAAACTCTTTTTTTGCTCACAGAGGAATAAAACTCTTATATGAATAGAACAAAACACAAATACAAGTGTTGAAGGAAACTAATGAAACTTTTAATGTTATTCCATACCTTAAAACACGATACATAAAAAAGCAAATACATATCCTTTCTCTCAAAGACACTACTAGAGTCTTGTTTCCAAGGTTTTGAAGAAAATTTTTTACAACACAAGTTTTACAAAACAATTCTAAGTGGAGGGTTTCATCTCAGACTTAATAGCAGCAACTAATTGATCATAAGCTTCTCCCCATGCATTCTTCATCTCTGGGGACCACATTTCTGGCACTGCTTCCTTTATGGTCTCCAAGAGTGCATATTTTGTGACCTGCAAAAAATGTGTTTTAGAAGCCATATAATTATACTACATGAAATCAACTATCCAAGAACCGCAATATTGCTGTTAGCGGTGACAATTTGTGTCATCGGTTGTGTCAGTATCGAATTGAGGGTCAATTTTTGCAGAAATTATCTCAACCATAAAACGACTCGTGACCGGAACGAGTTAGAGCAATTTCAACCCTCACACTTTCTGAGTGGGTCAATGTCATGTGCCGACACGAACACGACTCGATCGTATGCCACCCTACTTTCTATATATACTCTATGGCTTATTTGAGACCGTGATGAGAAGACAACCATACCTCAAAATGCTCATCTACAACGCCATATTTAAGGTGGGCAGCACCAAGTCTTTTCAAGTTTGATTCTCGAACTGTTACTTTGCCGGCTTTCCGAAGTTGAACTGCCGCTTCACATGTCTTCTCGGTTGAAATACCGGGAAAAAGAAAATGAGCATGAAATCATTGAAGATACACTAAAGAATGGAAGATAGATAGGTGTTTAGTTCTTAGTTCAAAATTCATTATCCAAGTCCAAAGCAATCACCGCGCTTTATTAATTTAGCAACATAATAATATTGAACGGAACTCATATTGTTATGTGACAACTAATATTGCACAAAATGGCCAAATATTTATTTGTTATTGTGGAATCATGTTAGGTGAGGAGGACACGATCAAGACAAAAAAAAAAAAAAAAAAAAAAAAAAAAAAAAAAGAACAAAGTTGGGGAGACACATGTTCGACTCAAAATTTTGCTCTCAGCTTATTGAAAAATTACGATTATGCCCTTTGCTCAATTAAGAAAATATATAACTATATTATGAGATTTTCTAGTCGGCATATTTTTTTTTTAACGTTAAATTTATATATTTTTCAACTGTTAAATTTATAGATTTTTTAATTTTTACTTAATTTTATTATATAAATTTGAAAAACAAAAAATTTAACCTAAGATATTTTGATGTACCAAGAAGATCCCAACTATATTTTATTTCATAATTTAAAAATATTTCTGTCTCCGCCGCTAACGTAGCCCAATAATATTATGTGACGGCCTGAAATACCAGCAAGTTCTTTTTTTCTACTTACCATAACAAAGACAGTCATAGCATGTGGCTTGAGCTTTGCGTTCTGCTCCGGCGGAACAGGAGAGTCCTTCAAAAAAGAAAACAGCTTCTTGGCAGATGGCGCAATCTCAAATATCCTGCAAAATATTCCAATCAAACATATTTCTTTTTTCTTCTCATGTAATGATAAAAGGATTCTTTTTAAAGATTTTCTTTATCAAAAAGGCTATATTAAGAAGCTTGACTAACTTGAGGAAGAATTTAAGACCCAATTCTCCAGCATTCTTCTTCATTGCAGCCCAAGATTTGACCACTAGAGCTTCCTGCTCTTCTGTGAAAACTTTGCCTTCTGTGCCGCTACTCATGATCGCTTAACTATAGCTATGAGTTTAATTTGGGAATCAATGGAATAATAATATTATTGGAGGTGTTTAGAGTAATCTTTGGTAAAGATATGTATGTATCAACATATATAGATATAACACACACACACACACATACATATATATATATATATATAGCAGATATGAGATAAAATGTAACTCTTCAGGGTAATGAGGAGCCATATCTCTTGGTATTCAATTTTGTGCAGAGCTTTTTGAGACTTGGGCGTTACTTAATGCATTCCTTCTTTAAAACCAAAACCAGGTGCTATTTCCCTGTTGGCTGTTCGGGTACAACTACTCTACAAGAACGTGGTTTTTGAAAGTGATGCAATAATTATGTGTTTGACCAGTCTAGTTTTGAGATAAATTGACAACAAAAGTTGATATATTTGCGTGTACGCATACCAATGTACCATGTGTAGGTGACTAGAATAAAGAAATGCATGCACACATAACTGTGTCCGTGTATGGTCAAAGTTGTCCACATGGGAGTGGGAAGTGGATTATTATATGACAACCCTTCGGGGTGTGTAAAGACAATCTTTAAGGTTTTTTTTGTGTGTTTTTTTTTTTTTTTTTTCTTCTCGGAGGCTGCTGTAACAATATACGAAAAAAAGGTTTTTTTTTTTAGGGTGAGATCTCATAAAATAATCCATCAGCAAAATGTTCTTGTTTGATTGTTGGATTTTTTTTTAACAATTAAATCTGTAGAAAAAATAGTTTTGTATTGTATGTATAATTTTTTAATATATATTTACACAAATTTAATTATTAAAAACTTACAACGGCTAAAACAGAATGTTTCACTGGTAAAATTTTTTAAGGAACTTCACTATAGAGGTTTTAAAAAAATAAAATAAAATTCCGCATTACGAGATCACATTAAAATTATATAGATTAATTACAAAAATTAAAATTTATAAAATATTAAAAATTACGGAAAAACTAAAATATTAACCTAACATTAAGAATAAAAACATGTAACATTAGTTCCCTAATGTAACGGTCTTTAATATTACATAATCTTTAAACGTAATCTTTAATATTAGGGGTTTCTTTTTAATATTATGTGCTCTGTAATCTTCAAATTAAACATAACATTAGTTTCCCTAATTTATAAAATATTAACAGAAAAACTCCTTTAATTAAAATTTTTAATAATAAAAACACGTCTCAAATGAAGGTCGCTCATATTTAGAAAAATATGATAACTTAATGAAATTTAAATATATTTGAAACTTTGTTACCGGTATGAAAAAAAATTCTGCCAAAGAAGTCACAAGAAATAGTTTGGAATTGGAATTTGAGCTCTCTTTAAACTCTAGGTGCAATCCATCAAAACATAGAAAAAGGATAATTAATCCATTAATGCAGATCTGCAGAAGGTTTTTTTTTTTTTTTTTTTAAAAAAAATTGTATTTTTGGGTAAAGGTTTGTTAATGCGAATGTGATACCTTGGCAAATGTTGTATCTTGTAGCTAGATTAGCACTATTGCATTCATATGTATTTGCTTATCTATAGTCAATCGGTAAATTTACTCATGAGTACCTTATAAAATCCCTTCACCATGAGTTTTTCTTCAAAAAAAAAAAATTATTATTATATGGCCATGCATCATTACGTATATTTTAATGATGTTCTTGTTTGTAGTTAAAGATTAAAGATCCCAAGGGCATGCCGTGTTTTTTTTTTTTAATATGTAATACGGGATCGAATTTACAGTCTCCCTTAAAATCTTACTCCACCTAAATTTTCTATGCCACAAGACCAAGTGGTCTTACGCAGGGCATGCCCATGCTAATACATACCAAATCATCCATATACATTCATACATGATGCCATCATCTAGAGAAAACAATATTTAGACATAACTAGCTCTAAAGTCTCTAGAACTCAAAAGAAAAAAAAAAACTTTTTTTTTCTTATGGAAACGATTAATCATGTTGTTTAAAACAGTTGGTAATTCTTAATTTCTTCACCTATGATTATCTAATAATTAGCAGCATGTATAGTTGAGGAATGTATAGTCTCTAATATTGTTCATCCTGCGGATATGAATCTTAATTAGCAGAGTACTCTTCTACCATGTTTTGGTCCTACTTATAAGAAATAGATTTGCATATGTGTATATAGATGAAAGAGAGATTATGAGTAAAAGATTCAATTAGAACTAATAATGCAGTAATTATATTACATTGCACTGGAAAAATCCAAAAAAGAAAAAAAAAACCAGAGAAAGGAAAAAAAACAGTGTTATGAAAACTAAGAAGTGCAAAATTAAGAAGAAAAACTTTAGAGAGAGTTTCATTAATTTTATGGAGGTATATAAAATGAAGAGTCTTAAAGCTCTATTTATAGGAAATTTTTTAGCACTATTTACGGTTACTATTTGCATAGTATTTACTATTTACGATTACTATTTGCACAATAAGATTCTGACATGAACAATAACTTTGACTGAATTGCATAGTAACTTTCCTTGACTTGTATAGTAACTTTGATTGAGGTTGACAGTTACTATTCATAACACTCCTCCTTAGATGTCAGCTATTCATGATGCCTCATTAAAAAACCTTGTTAGGAAAAATCCAGTGGGATAAAAACCATAACAAAGAGAAAAATAGTACATCATTTATCTATACGTGTTTATGTTGCCTCGTTAAAAACCTTATTATGAAAACTCAGTGGGATAAAATCATAATAAGAGAAAAATAGTACATCATTTATCTATACGTGTTTATGTTGCCTCGTTAAAAACCTTATTATGAAAACTCAGTGGGATAAAATCATAATAAGAGAAAAATAGTACAGCCACATAAACTCTCTCTCAAGTTGACATGTACATGCCTCCCTCATAAATCTCATAAATCTTGTAAATTACGCATCCCGATACTTTGGATATGCTTTCTAAATGTTGTAGTAGGAAGTGCCTTTGTGAAAAGATCTGTTGCCTTGTCACTTGATCGAATGTATTGAATATCAATATCCTTATTCTTTTCGAGCTTTTGGGAGTATGAGAAGAACTTCGGGGTATGTGTTTCGTTATGTCATTTTTGATGTAACCTTCCTTTATTTGAGCGACACATATTGCATTGTCTTCAAATAATACTATTGGATCTTTACTGATTGATAGTCCGCAAGTTTCTTGGATATCTTGAGTCATTGACCTCAGCCATGCACATTCTCGACCTGTTTCATGGAGTGCAATAACTTCGGCATGATTTGAAAAAGTGACAACAAGTGTTTGCTTTTGTGAACGCCATGAAACATCAGTACCTCCACATGTGAACACGTATCCAGTTTGACACCTGGCTTTATGTGGATCTGACAAATATCCTGCATCTGCAAAACCAATAATCCTTTATTTTGATCCTTTAGCATAAAATAATCCCAAACAAATCTTCCTTGAAGATAACGGAATATATGCTTAATTTCGTTCCAATATCTTCATGTAGGAGATTAGCTAAATCTTGCTAATAGATTAGTAGCAAAATCTATATCTAGTCAGGTACAATTAGCAAGATACATAAAAGCTCTTATTGCACTTAAATATGGTACTTCAGGATCGAGGACTTCTTATTACCTATGCCAGGGCGAAATGGATCCCTTTCAACATTAAGAGTGCGTTTGGTTCAAGGATTCGTGCCATGATTCGTGGCTCGCTACAATATTTTCTCTCACAAAAAATACACGACAATCGAGAATGGTTCTGAATCCATCAACCAAACGTCCTCTAAGTGATCTAACAATTATTAAAGTACTTAGAGGGTTTGCTTTATCCATATTAAAGCGTTTTAAGACCTTTTTAGTATAGTTTGATTGATGCATAAGTATTCCACTTTGGAGGTGCTCAATCCATAAACCAAGACGATATTTCATTTTTCTAAGGTCTTTCATTTCAAATTCATCTTTTAAGTATATCACAACTTCTTGAATTTCTTTATGAAGTCCAATGATGTTCAAATCATCGACATAGACAACAATTATAATAAAACAAGATGTTGTTCTCTAATAAAAACACATGGGCATATGGAATTATTCACATATCCTTATTTTGAATAATATTCGCTTAAGCAATTATACCACGTGCATTCGGATTGCTTTAACTCATATATTGATCTTTGTAACTTAAACGAACATGTATCTTTAGGTTTTGAATTTAGTGCTTCAAGCATCTTAAATCCATTAGGAATCCTCATATAAATATCAGTATCAAGCGATTCGTATAAATAAGCTGTAACAACATCCATAAGACGCATCTCTAAAATTTTAGAAACTGTTAGGCTGATTAAATATCTGAACGTAATTGCATCCATTGCAGGAGAATACATTTCCTCATAATCAACCCCGGGACTTTGTGAAAAAACTTGTGCAACAAGTTGAGCTTTATATCTTACAAATTCATTTTTCTCATTGTTTTTTCGCCCAAAAACCCATTTGTATCACACATGTTTCACGGCTTCAGGCGTTAAGATAATAGGTCCAAAAACTTTACGCTTATTAAGCGAATTTAACTCAACTTGTATAACATCTTTCAATTTGATCCAATCGTGTCTATTTTGGCATTCAAAAATGAATCTTGATTCAGGATCCTCAGTTCTGTTGATAAATTCACATGCCAAAGAGTAAGAAAATATTCCATCAATATTTTAATTTCATTTTGATTCCATAATCCTCCTATGTTGATATAGTTAATAGATATCTCACTATTCTCAAATCCATCAGAATTTTCTACGATATTGAGAATCTCTTTGTTTGTATTATTTTGTGTTTCTCCTAGAACACTTTCCTCCAAATTGAGATTATTATGCTCATTTGCACTCTTTCTTTTCGAGAATTTTTGTCTTTAGAATCGATAAGTCTACCACGCTTTAGGCGTGTTTTAGACATATTAATGACTTCATTCTCATATTGTCCTTTTAGGATTTCAATCTTAGGGGGAGCATTTGTAGCTGGTACATATGATTTAGTCACCCTTTTTGTATCAGTGAATGCATCTGGTAATTGATTTGCTAAGTTTTGTAATTGTATAATCTTTTACACTTCTAGTTCACATTGCTTTCTGTAAGGATCAAGATACAACAATGATGGTTTAAACAATGTGATTTCTTTTTT